ATTCGACTGTTCGGACCCTGACGACAGCAGAGGAGGGGTGGGGAGGGTGGGGTGAGTACAAGTAGGGGAGAGCGAACCAGCTACCGCTGCACTCCCGACCGACACACAGAGAGGAAATCCAGGAAGTGTGTAAAACTTCCATGCCCAGAAAAGAATGCCATGCGAGTTGCCCCCCGCCATACACGAAAAAAATAAATAACAATAAAAACAAGCGCACACGGGGCTCTGGCCGGCCCTGCCCGCGGCGTGCAAGTGACATTCCCCGTGGGGGCCTTCCCTCACGACATGGGCCGGCCGCCGCGTGGGCACCGGGCGCCCAGGCCGGCCCAGGCAAATTCCACCCACATTCCTCCCCGCTCGACGCTGCTATTTTTTCACGACTTCCGACGAAAAGGCGGCAATTAAAAACAAAATTTCTGTCAACGGCTATTCTGGCCGGGCGTCGTGCGCGTCGTGCGGGGCGGGGGCCGCGTGGCCCGCCTCACATGACGCGCAAGTCACCACGCCGTCATCGCAAAGGTGCAACGGGCACAGGCGACACACGGGAAAAAATATTAGCTAAAACAATAGTTCAATACGGAATAACAAACTATTTCGCTATGTAGCAGTAAATTAGCTTTGCTAATTCAGCTGTGTAATTAAACATTGGTAAATTATTACCAGCTACAAGGCTAGCTACCCGTATGGCCTGTTAAAGCATAATTTTTTCATATTTTCGTCATTTATGATATGACAAACCAATCACCATTAAAACTCAAAATAACGACGAAATAAATGACGAAATAAATTCGTGTGAGTCGATTTGGCTTTGTCATTATGACGTGTTTGTTTCGTCATTTATTTGTGCTGAAATCGGTCAATTTCACGACAAATTAATGACGAATTAATCTCGAAACAAGGACAAGACTTCAAGCGGCACGAAAAAACGATTCCCGCTTCTCGCCTGGAGGTGGAATCGAACCACGAACTTCACCCACCGCAGGCCGGCACTGTATCCACCAGGCCACGGAGGAGACGTGAGAGATGAGGTCGCTCCGAGCAGAGAGGTGCAGCTCGTCGCACCCGTGCTGCTGCCGCCACTCGCCGCTCTAGAACAACGGCTGGTCTGGCCACCTTGCCTCCCGCACGTCTCCTCCGTGGCCTGGTGGATACAGTGCCGGCCTGCGGTGGGTGAAGTTCGTGGTTCGATTCCACCTCCAGGCGAGAAACGGGAATCGTTTTTTCGTGCCGCTTGAAGTCTTGTCATTGTTTCGAGATTAATTCGTCATTAATTTGTCGTGAAATTGACCGATTTCAGCACAAATAAATGACGAAACAAACACGTCATAATGACAAAGCCAAATCGACTCACACGAATTTATTTCGTCATTTATTTCGTCGTTATTTTGAGTTTTAATGGTGGTTGGTTTGTGATTGGTTTGTCATATCATAAATGACGAAAATATGACAAAATTATGCTTTAACAGGCCATACGGGTAGCTAGCTGTCCCGTCGTGTTTTTTTTTTTAGCTATTGTGCAACATCCACAAGCAGGGTCTCGACTCCAGGGTCTCCATCCTGTCACAATCGGACGCCCGGCGGGCGTGGTGTGAAGTGCGGCTGGGGGCGCCGAAATCCATCGGGCCACTGGAGCAGCCCGACCGTCCTCACCCAACGACGGCGACGGCGGCCGCAAAACTTTGTTTCCGAACGTCCTCTAAATGTGGACTTCCCTCCCCGCCGCCGGCCGCCGGGCGGCCGGAGGGGAGAATATCAGCGGCCAGACTTAACAGCCCCCCGAGAGAAACTTGCCACACAATGTTCGACAGTTTTCAAACTTGAGGGAAGGGAATTCCCTCCCTCCCCTGCCCCCGTCCCGGGCGGCCCCGGCGGCGGCGCCCGGAGCCCGGAGCCCCCCGGCCCTCTCGGACCGCCCGCCGCCAGGCCGCGCCAGGGCGCCAAGGCGGCAGCGCTTTCTCAAGTCACTGAGAAAGGGACGCCATTTCTTTTCCCTCAACTTGCCGCGCGATGGTGGCATAAAGAAAAGGAGCAGGAGCGACGGCGGGGGCGGCGGGGGCGGGCGATAGGGGCGCGCCAGATAGGGTAGGCCTGCCGAGCCGCCCGGTCGGTCGGCCGGTCATAGACTTGGGGAGGAAAAATAATCCCCCCCCCACCCCCAACCCATCCCCTT